TGATCACCCTCGCTGCAGATCTCTGCCATTCTCCAGCCTGGTGTCCCCAATTCCCCACTGCCTCCCCTGGCCAGGCCCTTTGCAGTGCAGGGGTGAGCTGTGGGCTGTGCAGAGTGCTGTCCCTCTCTGCCAGGCTCTCGGGAGTCCTGCCAGCTGCCCCGCTCCCTAGGGCTGACAAAGGCTGGGAGGAAGCGTGTGCGGATCCCAAGGGGAAAAGGAGAGCGAGCACTTTGTATCACTCGACAGGAAGGCCTCTGCTTGACAAAAGAGCGCTGCTGACAGGCTCCAAAAAGCAGCCAGCCTGGGGCTTGTATTTCCTGAGCCAGCAAGAGATCCCCAGCCTTAGTGCAGAGGGGTTAAAGAGATGGGAGTGAGGGCTGTGGGCTCTGTGGGTGTTAGCAGACCATGGCAGGTGTTACTGACCTGTGCTTGGCTCTTACTTCCCAAAAGGTGAACTTGCCACCCATCCCTTCCAGCCTCTGCTTTCCGTGCAGCCGCTGGGGCATGGGGGATGCCGGCAGCTTGGGAAGCACTTGCCAGATTTTTCCCTTCCCCCTCTGCTCCCCTCTCCCAGGCTCGCACAGCAGTGAAGTAATCTGTGACATTCAGACACCGGGAAGGGGAAGCCGCTGCAAAATAAAATAACAGCATCAGGAAGCGGCACCGTGCTTTTTCCCACTCCCAGCTGGGAAATGACAACACTTCATTCAGCTGCTCAAAGCCCGGCGCCAGTGCTGCCCTTGCTGAGCAGGGCTGGCTAATAACTTCCCCGGCTGGCCAGCTCAGCACTGCCTGCTCAGTGGGCTCAGGGGCACTGGGAAGATGGGGCAGGCGAGGTGCCAGCAGAGAGTCAATTCTAACAGCAGGCGCTGCACAGTAACACCTGGCAAAGCAGTTGCCTGGGTTTATAGCTTCTGTGAAGACCCCGGAGGGTGTTTCTTTTACATTTTAATTCCTGCTAGTTACATTTTGCAGGATACCCGGACCTTCCCCCTTCCTTTTTCTGGTGGCTGTTATTTTTACAGATGCACTGCAGCGTGAAAGTTTCACAGCCCAAATCCAGTGTGTTGTGTGCCAGAGAGACCGCCGGAGGCAAGCTGACCTCTTGGACAGGTGGTGTGCAAGTTTGGAGAGAAGTTTCTCTCTCTTCTTCTCCTTCTTGTTACAAACCAACCCCTGGGCGGAAGGCACTGCCTCTATACATAGGTGCCTGAGTGCAGGAGGTTGGTTTCTGTGCTCCTTCCTCCCTAAAACATTAGGTGAGGGGGAAAAAAGTCAACCTGGCACATCAGATCCAGTGATGCTACCAGCCAAACACCTTAAAATGGACAGCGAGATCCACAGATTTTAAATCCTCAAAAGCAGATTGTATTCTTTAGTTATGTATGACTGGAATGTGAAAATAAGTAAGGCAAACCCTCCCTTTTTATGGCTGGAATCCTAAACCACAGATCTGCTGGGGATTTAATGCCTTTTCTCCTCAACTGAATCTGAAGGGACACAAAAGAGCCAGCACCTGGTGATGGACTTGAAGGTCATGGTGATTTTCTGTCCGCAGCTCTGCTGGGCCTGATGGTGGCTTTTTAGTCTAGGATGTGACTTGTCTTGTAGGGATCATAGACCAGATTTTTCATTGACTTCAGCCATGCAGCTCCTAGAGTTAGAGTATAAATCCTGTTATTTTTCATTCGGGTATCTTCCACAGCAGTCATGTGTTTTTAGTATATGCCAACAGCATCAGGAGGGAGAAAAGCTGGCGCAGCTCTGCAGGTTGTCCCTTCAGCTTCCAGCCCCTCTCTTTGGGTGCTGTGACTTGATGGCATTGCCTGAGTCATGATGTCACCTCATTGCTGTGCTGGCATCGCTGGGTGTGTGGAAAGGAGCACACATCCCATGGTGTGAAATGTGAAATACCAAGATGGGCCTACAGATTGCTGAGAGGCTGCACCCACTGTAGTTGAGTTTCTCCAGCAGCTTTGGGGGTTGTCACTTGAGCCCTTCAGATGGTTACAGCCTGCGCTGTTCACCTTCTGCGTGTTGCTGCCTTGTGTCCACACAAGGATAACATAAATGTCTGTCCATGTTCCTGTGGGTTTTTTTGAGTTGCTTCTGAGTGTTAAAGTAATTTTGTCTTTTGCACCTGGTTTTTATCACCAAGGTCCATCACTGTCAGTCCTCTTGCAATTGTTTAGGTTAATCCTCTTGCTGGCTATTTCTTTTCCTCTACCCAGCACTGGTCTCCCCAGGCTTCTCATCCTGCAGTACAGCTAAATCCTGAAAGCATTGGACCTGCATCCCAAATCAACATAAAATGCCTGCTGTTTTTCTTGGCCAGGTGCACTAAGAATGCAAAGGTATTAAATGATGTCACTATCTAGTGATGGTGCTCTTTTGGTGCTGATTTGCCACAGTAAGCAGGGGTGCAGCTGTGAGCTGTAAAGAGGAGGCTCTTGGCACCTATGTCTCGACTCTTGGTGCCCCAAACCCATCTTTCCCTATGTGGCGAGTCTGATTTTAAAGTGTCTGCTCACTTACAGTTGTGCAAAGCTTGGTGTGTCCTGCCCTTGGCATTATTCCTGGTCCTAGAATTGATCTTCCGTGGAACTGTGGCAAATTGATTCCGCAGTTCTGTTCATCCTCCTGTTTTGTTTCTCGTCTGTTCTTTTGGACATCCTCTCTTTTTGTGTGTTTGCACTGTACTTCATTCAGCCTGGGGTTCTGGTCCTGACAGGGACCTTGGGGGAGCTGCCACAGTAGTCATGTAAAATCTTACTGTGTCCATGTGACAGGGCTTTAACCTGTTTTACATCACTGCAAATGATTGCCCTGGGCATCAAAGAATGGCAAATATACAGTCTTCTGTGTATGTAATTATGTTACCTATGATATAAAGAGTAAAAAAAAATAAAGGAAAATAACTATTTTCCTTCAGAAATTGCAATTCTATCACACTGAAATTAAAGTGTCTCCCAGAGTTGTATGGGCTTTACTGAACTTGAGACATAAACAATCCTACTGAAATCATCATAGAATTGTAGAATGCCTTGGATTGGAAGGGATCTTAGAAATCATTTCATTCTAACCCCCCTGCCTGGGCAAGGGTGCCACCCATGAGATGAGGTAGCTCAAAGCCCCATCCACCCTGGCTTTCAATACTTCCAGAAATGGAGAATCCACAGCTTGCCTGGGCAACCTGTTCCAGACCCTCACCACCCTCACAGTAAAGAGTTTCTTACTAACATTTAATCTAAGTCTCTTCTCCTTTTCTTTTTTCAGTTTAAAGCCATTCCCCCTTGTCCTACCTACCTGACCAAGATCCTTTTTTATAAGTGTTTTTTATAAATCTCCTTTAGATACTGGAAGGCTGCTAGAAGGTCTCCATGGAACCTTCTCTTTTCCAGGCTGAACATCCCCAGCTGTCAGCCAGTCTCTATAGCAGAGATGCTCCAGATCATCTTTGGGGCCTCCTCTGGACTCGCTCCAACACGTCCATTGTTTTCTAAAGGAAAATAAGATTTTCCTTGTAAGACAATTTCCACACTTCAGGTGTTGCTGCTGCTGCTTCACTTTGGTCCGTATTTCAAAATCTCTGAGATGGTATGTGAAACAAAACACCCATCTTGTGCCAACCCCTGATGGAGGAGGCTTTCAGTGCCCTGAGCAGCGGGCTGGGCAGCTGTGAGCTCTTGAGAGGGAGCAGGCTGGGAGGAGGGACTCAACTCAGGGAGCCAAGTGGTTTCAGTTCTGCTGTTCACCCTGGTACAGGCTCCACATTCAGCCCGGGTCAACGAGCCATGTCTGCAGATAAAGAGCTATTCTGGTAAAGTGTGCTGAGAGGGGATGTGTAAATGCAATAAACCCTTAAATTTATGCACTGTATCCGACTGAGCCTCCACTCCCCTGCAGCTGGAGCTTCTGATGGGTTTTAGGGAATGATCCTCCTTAAATTAAACAGAAAGTCAAAGCCAGCAGTAACTAAATGGGCTGGTGTGACACGGAGGAGGCAGGAGCTCTGCTGTGGGGGCACCTGGCACTGGGCAGGGGACAGGGACACCGCCCGCCCCCGATGGCTCCAGCTCGTTAATCTGAAACCACCGTGCGCCAGTCTTGGGACAGGTTTTAAATAGCAAGTCAAGAGGGGAGCCACGTTTTCCTGGGGCTGAGCAGGGAGCCAAGCTGAGATAGTGCTGCTTGCCGGAGCGTCTGGACAGCATGGACAGAAAAGGGCCCCTCTTCCCAGCATCCAGCCCCCAGATGGGTTTTGGCTTCAAAGGTGACTTTTTTTCAGATAAATGTCTACTGCTGTGGAGGTTTGCGGGGGAAAAACCGGCAGCTGAGGCAGAGAAGGGCTTGTTCTTTGTTCTGTCAGCTGAGTGAGTGATCTGGACTGCTGCAGTGTGCGAGGGGCTGGGCTGGTGGTGGGCTGGGCAGGGTGTGACATGGCAAATGGAGCACACAGGGTGGGAAGGGCTGATGTGCCCTGAACGTGTGGGGATGGCAAGAGTGGGGGCCTGTGGCAGGACGTGACAGAGGAGAGATGGGGGAAGGTCCTGGTGACTGGGATCCAGCTCTTGAGCTGTGAGCAGTGAGGACACCAAGGGTTTCGGGGAAAAAAGAGATCAAAGTTTGGTCAAATAAAAGCCAGATTTCTCAACCACTGCAGCTGGAGCCTTTCTTTATGGTGTTTCTGGCCAGGGTCAGCTCTTGTCCTGTCACGTGTCACTTTTATTTAATCATGTTTATGGGATTTGTGCCAGCATAAGTTGTACTAATGAATTAGGCCTCAGAGGCAAAGCAGCTCCAAGAGGGCCAAAAGAGTGGGGTCAGTTCCTGCTCCTGAAAAAAACAAGTGGAGTGACTCTCTAAAGTGGTCTCTTTCCAAGGTGAGAGGAGACTGTGGTGAACCCAGCATCCCAGCCTCCTGCAGTCCTCAAAACTGCTTTTACTTAACCTTTGTAGTGGCCATTTTCACCATGTGACTGTTCTCTTCCTTCTCTCAGGGCTTAACTGTGACCTTCAAGCAAGGCTAAGGTGGGAGCTGGAGCCTGCTGTCTCAGTCTGAAGGGGTGCAGTGGTGGAGTCCCCATCCCTGGAGGTGTTGGGAGAGACTGGATGTGGTGCCATGCTGATATTGGGTCTTGGGTTGGACTGGATGATCTCAGAAGTCTTTTCCACCCTCAGATTCCATGGCTCTGTGGTGGGTGTGATGTGTGGCTGGGGTGCCCTCCTGCTGGCTGCATCCTCCCAGATGTGAACTGTGGGGTTTATATCCTCTTCTTTGGGCCCGTTTGGACCAAGCAGATCAGAGGAAAGCCTCCAGCCAAGAGTGCTGTCCTTATTTATTAGAGCCTTGACAAGTTAAATAGAGGTAGAGATTAAATATGAATGGGACTTATGCTGGAAAGCTCAGCCTTAGAGACATTAAAGAAAAGGAAGTTAATTCAACAGGGAAGTCACCTGTTTAACAGGAGGAAAATCTGAGTATGAGGGGGATGCTGATCATGTCCCAGTTCCCTTGTGGAGCAGAGGAGCTGGGACAGGACACCTGAAAGGTGCCTGGCAGATGTGGCATAGTCCTGTTCAGGGGGGAGCTGCAGCCACAGATAAGCATCATCATTTTAAGCTCTCTTGTAAGTCTGTCTTTCTGAAAAACAAAGCAGTAAAAGCTGTCTACTTTTGCAACTTATGTGCAATGCAATTAGTGGATCCTTTCCGTGTGCTGACAGATTTCATCTGCCTCTGTCTGTCTTTAGTTATTAATTGCTTAGGATTTAAACACAAGTTTCTCATTCTTTATTTATAATCAATACTTGTCTGATGGTATGAATAGCTGTCAAATTAAGCTAAGTATTACCAAATCATGGCAGATTTGTATATTATTTGCATGAGAACAGCTTTGTGCTGCCTGTTTAAATTAAAGTGACTGTGCAGTTATGTTAAAGACAAGATCAGGATGAGTCCAACTTTGTGTCAATGTAACAGCAAAACTTGGATTATAGGCTTTTTTTTTGCCAATGCATAGGAAGGCTTTTTTGTGTTTTTTTTTCTCCTGGTAATGGATGGTCTTTTCTGTTACTTTTTCTAAAGCATTTACTGAAAATGTGAATGCCATTTTAAGAGTGTTTCTTTAGCAAGGAATTTTGTGATAAATGGAAGGCAAAGTTCTTCATTCCAAGAAAGCACTGCGAACCCACACCACATCTGCTGACTTCAGCAGTCTCACCAGGTTTACACAACACGCTCATTGCAGCTGGGCTCACATTGTGCATACTTAGAGAACGTTAAGTTACCACGAGAGATGACGGAAATATTTCTTGGGAAATGAAGATTTCCTGAAATTGTTTGGGTACTTTTATTGAGACTAACATACTTGTGTAAGAAGAAAACGTAAATAGGGATGTCTCCAAAAAGGCCAAGACACAGGAAGAGCAGGACAGTGAGGTGCTCCTCATCTTGAGTTCAGGCTGCTGGCTCAGGATATGGATCTCCATGATCAAATCTCTTATCTGGAATGAAATGTATTCTCCCTTTTAGAAGAGGAAGAGTGAGAGACACTTGACCCTGCATCTTGGATGGGTGATAAACTGTAACTTTCTTCCTGGGAAAAAGTTGAAATAAGAGTAAACTGAGAGAAAAAAGAGACAAAGGGGGCTACATATTTGTCCCTAGCTGGTGCTGTGTGTGCTTGTGCATTGCTTGTGGTGCTTGTGGAGACACACAGCCTTCCCTTTGGTGTCTCCATCCAAATATTTTTCTCTCTCCAGCATGGAAAACATGAAGTTCCCAAATATGATACCTTTCTGTTTGCAACAAACACTTAAACAGTGTCACATTTTTGGGGGACTCAGTCCTGCATTCAGGGCAGGGATGGCTTTTGTCAGTCCCAGAGCCCACAGGGTTGGTATGTTGCTCTTCCACTGTGCTGATCAGGTTGTTCATATGTTTGCTTGGCAAACAGGATCATTGAA